CACACACACACACACACACACACACACACACACACACACACACACACTTCAGTGGAGCCAAAACCAACTAAAGATCACAGTGATGAATGGAAACCTAAATGCAAATTTCTAATAAACAGTGACTATAAGTCCAGGGCTTAATGCGATTAATATGAACCATGCTTGAAGAGCTGGAGACACTTCACACTGCAGCAAGAAATAGCTGATCCTAGGGGACATGGGTCACTGAGCACAGGCACTACCATATTGTCTCCATCTCTGCATTTATTTATTATTTATTTTGAAAATGATTTTTTTTTAAAGACATAGGCTTGCCATGTAGCCCAATCTACTCATTCTCCTGCCTCCACTTCGCCAGGTTCGAGATCAGGGCCGTGAATACTTGGATTCAATGCTTACAGTGAGTGGAATAGCTGCATGGTCTGTCTTTGTCTTAACTCTGTAGACTCTTTGCACAGCTTGGGCGTGGATGGCCTTTGGGACAGACCTTACAACCCCCAAGCACTCATAAGGATCAGATGTGGCATCAAGAGGTTGTTCTCCAGGGACTTCAGCCTAGCCAGCCAAGGTGAGCTTCAGGCTCTGAATTAGTTATTTTAATAAGCGGTTCTTTCTCTCTCCACCAAGCCTGCTGCCTAAGGGTTCTGTGGCAGACCAAAGTGCCATGATGTGTTTGGGTGTCATCCCTAACAGCATGTCCTGGGAAGCCGACAGTCTGGGTACTGTCATTCTTCAGCCCTTTGACGGTCTCCCTCAGCTGGAAGACTTGGTGAAGCCAGGAGGTGTTTGTTTTACTCTGCCATCCACAATATCAGCCCTCCATACACTGCCCAGTCATCAGTGCGCTTGACTTGCCTCATGTGCTAGTAAAGGTATCAGCCATCCCTCAGCCTCTCTGGTATTCTGCTATCAGAGCCAGACATATCTGTAGTAGGTTGTGCTACAGGGTAGACACTTTGCCTTCTCAATGACCTAACTGCATACCTCCCATTTTCCAGAATAAGTTAAACCCCATCCCAGGTGGTGAGGCAGCTTCGTAAGTAACTGGGCCTCATACTTTCCACTGCCTAGAAGTAGTGAGAGGTCTGCCCTCTGATGGTTCTCTGGTAGGCCAGTTTGCACGGTGACCAATGGGGACTCTGTGTGCTCTCCAGTTATGTCCTAGGGCATTGTACACGGATCTATCCAGTTTCAGCCCCCTCCAGAGATTTGAGCAAGGTACCTCCTGTTTCTGCCAGAGAGCCCAGCTCATGCCATCTGTAACCTGGAAGAGGGGTGCCCAGAATTTGCACCTCAACTATCCTTGTGCATGTCTGTCTGTTCTTTGCCAGTGGGAGGTACAGGAGCCTTGTATTTCATCTTTTGCTCTGCCTGGAAACAAATGAGTCTTATCTGATCTTGCCACCCCTAGGAAACTCCTGGGTGGCCTGGGGCCTTGGATTTTGTTGGAGTTGATGACCCTTTGTGAGAGGAGATATACCTTCATCCTACTGAGTTCTAAAAGAGACTATAACCTTCTTCCTTTTCCACATGGGACCAGATCATATCAGCTTGAAATGGGGCCCTAAGTCACTATGCTGTGACAGGAAGAGACTGAACAGGTATTCCCGAGAAAGAACCAAACAAAGGCAAAGTCACAGAGCCAAGGTAGGGTGTGCCTTTTTATCTGATCCCCAGGTAATGTAGGTACCTCAGCATAGGTGCTAGGCCTTACCTTATTTAGTTCCCTATAATCCACAGCCATTCTTTAAGTTTTGTATGCCTTGTTGGAGGTACTGTGGGAAGGCATTGAAGTCCCAGCCCGCTCTGCTTCCTTTGCTGTCTCTCTAATCTTAACATGTCAGTTCTGTTTTGTTCTACTATGGATCTAAAGGCAGAAGGATGAACCAGGTCCCAATTTGCTTCCCCTCTCATTACCGTCTTGGCTCTTTGAACCTTGATTCCAAATTCCCCGCAGGAGTCCCCATGCCTTTCCTAATGGAAGAGCACCCGGGAGTGCCCTCCAGGGTCAGGAAGCCTCCCAGCAGTCAGTACCACACTATTGATTGCTCTGATGGAGTTGCCCTGGTGGAGCATTCTGGGTTGCCTTGGAGCCATGTGCTTTCAGTGTCCACACATCAGAGCAGAGTTCTTTTCTTTGTCTCTGAGAACTAACTAAACAGTCAGCTCCATGTGAGGCTGAGGTCATTCTACAGCCTTTGCTTTGAGGTATCTGAGAACTAACTAAACAGTCAGCTCCATGTGAGGCTGAGGTCATTCTACAGCCTTTGCTTTGAGGTATCTTCAGCCCTACCCCTAGTCCCAGGGAGTTGGTGGGTCCATCTAGTTTTGCCATTACTGTTGGATTATAGAACTTCCTTGTCTTCCTAGGAAATGTTCTTCCTCGTGTTCAGGCTTAAGATCTGCCTCAAAGCCTCACAAGACTCCAGCATCCTGTGTGTGTGTGTGGGTGGGGTGGTGTGTGTGTGTGTCTTTTTCATAGGAGAGCTGCCACTAAGCAAATCATGTCCTCTTATGTTATCCTAACCCACCTTCCATTTCTTTTTTCTCTTTCTTTTCTTTTGTTGTGAAGAGTTTCTCTTTGTAGACTTGGCTGTGCTAGACTCACTTTGTAGGCCAGGCTGGCCTTGACCACCCTTCATTTCTTATCTCTCTTACTTCGATTTGCCCTTTTTTCCTGGCAGACTAGACGACAAATCACATACTGCTGCGGCCATCATTCATCTGTCCCAAGTTGGCAATAGCCTGGCCTGTGTCAGAAACACCCCGCCAAATGAGGAGGGCAACAAAGAGGACAATAATCTTCTCCAGGAGTGTTCCTGACAGCTTGTGTTTGTTTTTGTTTCTTTTGAGACAGGGTTGCTCTGTGTTGCCTCCACTGTCCTGGACTCACTTTGAAGACCAGGCTGGCCTTGAACTCAGAGATCTGCCTGCCTCTGCCTCCCTGAGTGCTGGGATTACTGGCATGTGCCACTATGCCCAGCTCCTCAGCTTGTTTTCTATTCTGCCTGTAAAAATGTCTTCATTGAAGCTGGGCATGGTGTCACACACCTTTAGTCCCAGCACTCAGGAGGCAGAGGCAGGGGGATCTCTGTTTGAGTTGGATCTGAGTTCGAGGCCAGCCTGGTCTACAAAAGTGAGTCCAGGACAGCCATGGATGTTACACAGAGAAACTTTGTCTAGGAAAAAAAATACCTCTTCACTCGGTCCCTGAGATGGAGGCATAAGTAGTTTGCTGCTGCTCAGTCCTGCAGCCCCCTGGGCTTCCTCTGTGCTTTCCTCTTCTGTGTGCCCCTCCCCCCACCCCCATTCAGGCACGCCTCTCTCATGCTCACTGTGATCCAGTTTGCAGGACAATAATTTCTTTGGTTGTGGTGGGCACCATACAGGTGCTGTCTAAGGGCCAGAAGAGTTGGCAATGCTATTCATTTCCTCAGCTGTATTTTGAGAGAAATGCCACAACCTCCATGTTCCACCCATCACTTTTCAGACTCAGTGTGGCAGCGTCTGCAGGGTCCATGGACTCTACAGTGATACAGTATTAGGGAGTGGACAGCCCTCCAGCATTGGCACATGCTGTGCCCTGTTGCTGGACTCTTTACCCCTGTAAGGTCAAGGAAAAAGCAAAGCTCATAGGCAAAGAGTCCCGGACCTCCACCATCAGCCTCAGTTTCTCTCTCAGGCCTCTCTCCCAGGTGTGCTACCTTGTGTATCCACACTCACTGCAAGACAGCCCCTTGGAACTATTTCTTAGCCCACTCCTCGCCTCCAGCCCACCCAGCAGCAAGCTAGGGCCTTAAGTTTGATCTCTTGTTTTCCCACTTTCTAAGTAAGGTTGGAGGCAGAGATAGAAGTAGAGACGTGCTATCTCTTTTGAGTCATAGTTCTTCCAGTTTTGTTTGCAGCCAGCTGGACATCAAGATGGAACAGCTGTGTGACCCAGAGATACAGCCTCACACTCCGGAGGGGGAGGGGATGTTTATTTATTTTTTAATGGGAGAATTTGATGATAAACCGTGGTGTACAGACAGTGTGGGCAATTGTATTTGTCCTTTTCCCCTTCCTCCTGTCTTTCTTCTTTCTCCCTCTTTTCTTTTCTCTTTCTGCTCCCCCCCTCCTCTTCTTTTTCTTCTTTTCATTTCTGGGGATTGAACTCATGATGTTTTGCATACAGGGTAAGCAGACTTGCATTGAGCTGTGCCCCTAGCCCTCTGTCTTCTTTTTAATCCTGACAAGCAAAGTTTCCCTATTTCATTGTTTCATTATTGTTACACATTGTGCCTGGGTGAGAGGCATAAGCAGGAGGACCAGGAGTCAAAGGTCATTCTCAGCAACATATTCAAGGCCAGCCTGGATGATAGAAGACCCTGTATCAAAACGGATCAGTCAATCATCAACGAGTTACATAGTTGAAATGCAGGAGCATCTGAAATGATGCAAGCAGGATTCCTGCAAGGCCACCTGGCTGCGGCGGATAGTAATGGTGGCAATAACATGAGCAACAGGTGGACTAATTTAGAGGGATGAGTTTGACAGAACAGCCATGTGTTCGAGGTGCAGTGTAGTCCTTACAGTGACCTTGGTGATACTCAGCCCACACATGAAGAAGCTGGGGTGCAGGGAGATGAATGTTTTCATCCACGGCACATGGCTGGAAAGCGAATTAGAACTCACACCAGCTTCCAGTGGGCACTTTAAGCATCTCACTGCACCCCTGCGAAGGGATGTTTGCCCAGATGCCCTCTACTTTCATTTCACCCTAGTCTTTCAGGGCCAGAAACATTTGGAAGTGATGTTGGCATGTCTTCCCACTAGTAGATAGGGCACTGGACGGTGAGATGGGTAAATGGGAAAATCATTTGTGTGTATGTTCGGGTGGTGCCTGCATGTGAGTGTGTGTGTGTGTGTGTGTGTGTGTGTGTGTGTGTGTGTGTGTGCGCGCGTGCGCGTGCGTGCGCGCATGAAGGTGCACATGCAGAGACTGCAGGTAACTGTCTGGTGCCTGCCGCCACCATTCCCCACAGAGAGAGAGAGAGAGAGAGAGAGAGAGGAAGGAAGAAAAGAGAGAAAGAGAGACAAAGAAAAAAGAGAGAGAGAAAGAAAGAAAGCCATTTTGTTTTACCAATGAAGACTCAGGAGCCAGATTCTGGGGTGAAAAACAGCTAGTCAGAGAGGCAGAGAAAACACCCAGCTGACCTTCCTTCTCAGCTCAGGTCCCAGAAGGAAAAGGACGGATGAAAGCTCCAAGCTAAAAGCTTGATAGCTCAGCTGATGGCTTTGTAAGAGAAAGCTAAAAAACAAATGAACAAACAACAACAACCAAACCTAAGGCCAGACGCTTGCTAGCCCAAAGCCCAAAAGGCCCAGAAAGCCTTAGAGCATATGCCTAAGCCTAAGCCAAAGAGCTAAAACAAAACAACAAAAAAAAGCCCTTTCTTTTTCTCCACACTGTCTTAAATACCCCTCAACTCAAAGTCCTGCCTGCTCTTTAATCGCTGTCAGCTGGTTTCTTACTCTGCCTCTTGGCCTAGGGTTAACGTTATTAGATACTATGTACAGAAAGCGCTTGGATTAAAGGTGTGTTCTAGGACTAGCTGAACCGCACCACCATCACCTCTTTACAATAAACAGAAAGCTCTTGGATGAAAGGTGTGTGATAGGGCTCAACCACACCAAACAAGAAGCAGTGTTTTACGGTTCACAGTTTCGGGGTTCACAGTGAGATCAGATATCCTGCAGCACTCCCCCCTATTTTTTGTTTTGAGACAGGGTCGTGCACTAAACTTGCAGCTCACTGTTTCATGGAGGAGTGAGCAGTGAGTTCCAGGGATCCTCTACCCTCCCCAGTGCTGGAATTACAGGCATGGGTAACCATGTTTGGCCTTTCATGTAGATGCCACTGTCTGAACTCGGGTCCTCACACTTACGCAGTGAGTACCCACTGAGCCATCTCCTGGCCCTCTGGAGATCATTTTTATGAGTCAAAGAGAAGTGTGGCTAACTCTGCTTAGCACGAGCCCCTGATGCTCCTAAGAGAAAGACATGCAATGGACGTGAGGGCTCAGTGGTGCCAGCAGTATCCCCGAACACAGGTTTTAGTCTGCTGGACAGGAAGTCCAGGTCCAGGGTGCCTTTTTGACATAGAAGGGTGGAGATGGTCTGGACAGATGGCTCACTAGGTAAGCGCACTTGCTTTTCTTGCAGAAGACCTGGTTTGGTTCCCAGCACCCACATGGCCACCTTCCACCTTCTGGAACTTCAGTTCTGAGGGATCCGGCCTCCTGTTCTGGCCTGTACAGGCACTGCACACCTGTGGCACCCAGACATTCATTCAAGGAAAGCACCCATACACTAAAATAAAAATAAAGACATCGTTAGCAAAAAAAGAAAGGTGGGGCCTGAAGGCAAGCAAGGTCATGGCCACCATTCAAATGAGGCTACCAGTGTCTCGAATGTAACAGCCTTCCATGCTCCTGCTGGAATGTTCATCATTAACAGGGTGTAAACTAAAACTGTATCACTCTTCAGGTGACTCGGTCATGCTCTGGGTTCTCTGTCTTTGGGCCCAGTTGGCCCCTGGTCCACTGGTGCCCCTGGAAGAAGCAGCTCACTCAGAGGGAAAGGAGGAAAGAGAAAGACGGTTGTTCCTCCCAAGAGCATGGTACTCTGCTCTAAGGTCAGGGTGGCTGTTGGTGGCCATCTCTAACCTGGACATCGGCAGTTGTACTGCTATCTCCAAGTTAGCATTCTTATGTAATATTTCCAGAGAATACGGCACAGGAAGGGAACTTTTAGCATTTCAGGATTTTAGTTCCAAAGGTAAAAGGCACATGCTTTGAAGCGTCTCATAAAAGAGCCAGCTGGGTGAAATCAACTCTCCTGGCCCAGCAGAAAACTCTCTTTAAGCAGGGTATGGTGGCTTCTGCATTTAGGAGGCTGAGGCAGGAGGATCACCAAGAGTTCCAGTCTAATCTGGTCTATAGTATGAGACTGTCTTAAACTACCACAACAACAAAAGCCACTTTGGGGCTGAGGTCTGGTTCCGTTGCTGGAGTTGTTGCCTGTATGAGCCAAGCCCCAGCCTCGGCCCCATCGCTCTCTTAAGTGTCACAGTGAGCTGGAGGCCAATCTGGGCTATGTGGAACCCTGTCTGAAACAAAAGCAAACAAAAGTTAGTTCCCCCTACCTTGAAAAGTCTTTAGGTAAAGGTTGCCTTGGAGGAATGATAATCTAATTAGAGCTTCCAAAAGAAAGGGCCATCTTTTGTTCCTTAGTTTGTAGCCCAGGCTGGCCTCCAGCTCACCATTGTAATCATGGATGAGGAGACCCTAAGGTCTAGACCCTTCTGCCTCTACCTTCACAATGCTGGGGGTGGGGGTAGAATTATGTGACACGAGGCTTATCTTAAAAGGTCTTTTGAATCCTAGAACAGGAATGCTCCTCTGAGGATGGGATGGTTTGGTGTGTAACATTTTATCTTCCGCCTTGGTAAATCAGCCCACATCAAACAGAAATATTAGCGTCTGAGCCCTTCAAACCCCCGGTCCCTTTCATTCTGGTTTGCCTTTTGACAGGTTATAATCAGAGATCCATTCAAGCTTGCAGAAGAATCCGACAAGATGCAGCCCCGATGTGTGTCTCAGGGCGCTGGAGGCTGCTGTGGCAAAAATAAAAGCTGCTAGATCTCCAGCCTGCACGGAGCCTACTGGGCTCGAGAGGGTGGCTAAAGGGTCACATCGACTTCTGAACCCGCTCTTCCCCGGTGCACAGAGTATGGGAAGACGGCAAAGGCACCACATGATTACTGTCAGGAATGAGTGATTTTTAGAGGGTGTTAATTTAAAAAAGTGAGATTCACCTGTTTTTTCTTACATCACTATTTCAGAGTTTTGGTGCCACCTGGTGGTGAGTAATAGAACTAGGCACCTTAAGGTTTACTCAAAGGCATCAACATTGGAGGATGGTGAGAGGACATCTTTCTGGCTTATCCCAGGACACCTCTGGACATTTCTCTGTCTTTACTCAGGAAGCTGGGTACCTACTAAATTTATGCTAACTATGCCAAAGTTAGCATAACTTAGATTGTCAAGTCAAATTTGGTAGGCGTACTGTCTTCAAACCTTTTTTTCCCTTTCTGTAATTGAATGAAGAAATGAAAAATAAATTTGACTTCAGTTCACCCTGATGATTGCTGCCACCCTGACTGTCTGTAATATGTCTTTACTGGTGTTTCTGAAGAAAGGAGAGCTAAGCAATACAAACAGGATTTCTCTCCCTTTGTAAGATGCTCTTTTGAAACTTAGGGAAAGGCTAGGCTTGCTTCTAGGACCGTGTTAAAGAAGTATGAGCACTAAAGGAAAGGCCAGTGGTAGTTAGTTGAAGGGACACAGAAGTCTTGGTCTTTATCAGGGGGCTGATAATTCAGACTTACAGCCCTGGGGCCGGCATAATTCAGCTGGTAGAGTACTTTCCTGGTATGAGGGAGATTATGGGTTTGCTCTTCAGTACCAGGTAACACCAGGTGACACAGTTACACACACCTAAGGTCCAAGCACTTGCACTCGGGAGGTAGAGGCATGAGAATCAGAAGCCCCAGGCCCTCCCTCCTCAGGCACACAGAGTTCGAGGCCAGCCTGGGGTGCTGTAGAACCTGTCTCAAAATGAACGAGTAACAACCTTCAACCATGGAGGGCTTTGACAAGGAAATCTTGATTGGACTGAGCTGCAGGCAAAAAAGAGCTTGGGCAGTAGGGGAAGAGGTGGGGTTAGCATGGCCCAAGAGGCTTTTAATTAGGAATTTGAGAATGTCTAGGCCTGTAAAACACTGGGATGGATTCTAAGAGCAGATTCATCTTTTTGTTTTTTTAAGATTTATTTACTATTTATACAGTGTGTGTGCCTGCATGCCAGAAGAGGGCACCAGATCTCATTATAAATGGTTGTGAGCCACCATGTGGTTGCTGGGAATTGAACTCAGGACCTTTGGAAGAACAGCCAGTGTTCTTAACCCCTGGGTCATCTCTTCAGCCCCAGATTCTTTTTTTTTTTTTTTTTTAAAGAGATTTGTTCACAACGGGGATCCCAAGAACTCTGAGTACTCTCCTCCTTGACTTGCTAGGCAGTTTTTTCCAGCTCTGCTTGTCTCGGTAACCTTGATTCTACTCAGGCTGTTGGTTCCAGGGTTCCTTATGTGCCCAGTTATAATTCACTGCAGTGCAAGGCTGGCAAGGCTGAGCACTGTGTCTCCCCGAGTGCAGGATGGCCCCTTCGGAAGGATATGGTAGAGAAAAAAGGTGGCCTAGCCATTCTGTTGATTACATTTGTCTTTCATTTCTTTCTTTCTTTTTCAAAGTTTTCTTTTTTTTTTTTGTATTTATTTTTATTAATTACACCTTATTCACTTTGTATTCCCCCTGTAGCTCCTTCCCTCCTCCCCTCCCAATCCCATTCTCCCTCCCCTTTCTTCACCCATACCCCTCCCCAAGTCCACTGATAGGGGAGGTCTTCCTCTCCTTCCTTCTGACCCTTGTCTATCAGGTCTCATCAGGAGTGGCTGCATTGTCTTCTTCTGTGGCCTGGTAAGGCTGTTCCCCCCTCAGGGGGAGGTGGTCAAAGAGCAGGCCAATCAGTTTATGTCAGAGACAGTCCCTGTTCCCATTACTAATGGAACCCACTTGGACACTGAGCTGCCATGGGCTACATCTGTGCAGGGGTTCTCCATGCATGGTCCTTGGTTGGAGTTTTTTGTTGTTGTTGTTGTTTTTGTTTTTACATAAATGAACACACTTGTTGCAGGGTAGGGAGGTCTAAAATGGATGGTCTAAATGGTCTCCTAGTCTTTCAGTTCCTTTAGTTCTCTGGTGGCAGACTTGACTGTGACAACAGAAGAGGTGTTGCAGGTCCAGGCCCCCACCAGCCACTCTCCTCTTGTGGGAACCACTGTGCCCCATGCCCACTGCCAGTCTCTTCTTGAGACTTCTTGGTCTTGCCACAGAAGGAGCAAAGTGTACTTGGCATGTTGGCTGATCTCAATTTTCTTCACCTGTTTCTAAGGGAGGCGCCGTAGTGGTTTCAGACTTACTGAGGATCTCAGCTTTCTTGGTGCATTCAGCCCTGATACTGTGACTGGGGCCTAAGCCTGGAAAGGTATTCGATTTTTTTCTAAGCTAAAGAGTGAGGACCAGGGATTAGCCTCTCACATGCCATTCTTAAGTGCTTTTAAGAATTTGTGTGTCAGGCCGTGCTCGGTGGCACACGCCTGTAATCCCAGCACTTGGGAGGCAGAGGCAGGCGGATCTCTGTGAGTCCGAGGCCAGCCTGGCCTACAAAGTGAGTCCAAGACAGCCAGGGCTACACAGAGAAACCCTGTCTCACCAAAACTAAAAAAAAAAAAAAAAAAAAAGAATTTGTGCATCTTCGTGAGTGCGTGAGTGTATGCTGTGTGTGTCCAGAGAGGGTGTTGGATTCCCCTGCGCTACAGGTGGTTGTGAGCCACCTGACACGGGTGCTGGGAACCAAACTCAGGTCCTTTGCAAGAGCAGCAAGCACTCTCAACTTCTGAGACATCTCCCTAGCCTCCCAGCTTTAACTAAAAGAGGTAATTTGTATTTACTTATTTGTATGTGTTTGTGTGCATATGCAGCCCACTTGTGTTCTTGTAGAAGACAAAGGAAGGTGCCCTGCTCTTTGCTCTCTGCTTTATTCCCTTGAGACAGGGTCTCTCATTGAGCCTAACACTTGCTGTTTTGACTAGGGCGCCTGGGTGGCCGGCAGCACTTGGAGCCACTGGTTTCCACACCACCAGTGCTGGGGCTGTGTAGAAACGTGTGAAGCTGTGCTCAGCTTTTATGTGAGTTCTGGAGATTCTACCTCAGGTCCTCATGCTTGGCCAGGAAGTGCTTTACCCATAGAGCTGTCTCCCCATCCCCTGACACCATCCAGAATGCTTTGTGCTTCAGAAAGAAGTCAGGCATTCTTTTTCTGTTCTTTGTTTTTTGTTTTGTTTTGTTTTTCAAGACAGGATTTCTCTGTGTAGCCCTGGCTGTCCTGGAACTCACTCTGTAGACCAGGCTGGTCTCAAACTCAAGATATTCATCTGCCTCTCCCTCCCAATGCTGGGATCAAAGGCACGTGCCACCACTGCCTGGCCACGTTCTTCTTCTGAGACTAGCATATTTGATACATTTTCCAATAAAATGTATATTTCAAGAGTTATGCTTGGGGAGGTAGTTCAGTTGGCTAGTAAAGTGTGGGCCATACAAGTATGAGGACCTGAGTCTGTCTTCCCAGGACGCACATAAAAGCTGAGCATGGAAGGATTTATTGCTAACCCCAGTGATGGAAATGCAGAGGAAAGGCAGACCCCTGAAGCTCACTGGCTGTGCATCCTCGCTGGATGGATGAGAAACCCAGCTAGGAGAGGCCCCACCCCAGGGCCAAAGCGGAAAGCAAAGCTTCTTCCTGCTGGTGACTCCCACCTCCCCTTGAAAGCCACCGTGGTTGTCACTAATGCCACACTCCGATGGGAGGTGTGCTCCATGACTGATGGGAGAAGTGGTGCCATCTACCTATTCTTCCCTTATTTATTAAGGCTGCTGTGGAGGCTGCAGAGATGGCTGGGTGGTTGAGCACTTGTGGCTCCTGCAGAGACAGGGATTGGTTTCCCAGCATCCACATTGGACAGCTCACAACCTCCTGGACCTCCAGTTCCAGGGGATCTGACGCCCTCTTCTGGCCTCCTTGGGCACAGCATGCATATTGTGTGCAAACAGCACACACCCACATATCCTTAAATAAAAATAAAAATGCGTACGTCTTTTATACTAGGCACTGCCCTGTTCACTAGCTGCAAAAATGGAATGTTAGGAACTGGTAGGCCAAGAGAACCAAAACAACTCAATGTGGTTCTAAACCCTGTGGGCCTGTGTCTTGACCCCTCTGAGTGATCAAATGTCTTCAACAACCTATCCCAATTTGGGCTGTAAAAGGGCTCTTTTAAAGATTTTGTCCTAGGATCCAGTAGAGACAGTGCTTATGAATTCTGTATATGTGTAGGCCAGAGGTTTACTTTGGGTGTCATTCCTCAAGCACTGTCTACCTTTGTTTGTTTGTTTGTTTGTTTGAATTGGGGTCTCCGGTTGGTTTGGAGCTTGTATGCACACACACAGAATTTATTAACTTTATATGTGTGCCGGGGACCAGCTCAGGCCTTCATGCTTGTGTAGCAAGCATTCTGCTCACCAAGCTGGCCCCCAGCTCCCAGTCTGCACTCATTTGCAAATGTGAAGCTGGAATTATACAAGCCTAATGCTAACCTGTGACATATCTTTAATTCATTACAAGCGGCAGCCAAGCAGGGCTTGTGGAGCCTGATGGGGGGCCTCTTGGGAGGCAACCACAGGGCTGGAGCCACTTATGGTAATTTGACATATAGCTCAGAGGCTGACTGTGCGGAGGGAAGTGGCCTGGACGGGTCAGCCTCTGTTCTGGGAGTTAACAAGCATCTCCCGTATGGCTTCCTTTGAGAATACTAAAGGAGCTTCCTTTAGAGCACACAGCACCTCAAATGTCAAGTGCAGGGGAGGGAGGCTCCGCACAGTAAGTGCAGGGTGACTGTGTGGCTTCTGGGCCTACCTGTTCATCTTTTATTAACTGTCCTTACTCTCTTTTTATCAATTAACCTTATTATTCCTTTCAACTAGATCTGTCCACAGAAGCAAGGAGATATCTTTTTTCCCCCTTTTAAATAATGTAGCAGAGACTCACAAAGTCAGTGCAACCCTTCAGAAATGGCCCTTTCTTGCGGTGGAGTTCTCCGTGGGCCCACCCGTGCCACACAGCCAGAGTGCACCCTTACTGAGAACAGCTCTCCTACACCTTCTTCCCAGTGCTGCTTTTGCAGATTTCATGGAAGGAGAAGCTGAACTGTGGAAATGATCTGAGTGGTGGGGCTGCTGTCAAAGTGTTGGCACCAGGACCAGAACCAGGGCTCCTGGCACCTTGCCCATTGCATCATGTCTTTGGTCTCCTCCAGGGGCTTCCTAACTTAAGCAGTATAGTAACTGCTGGACCTGGTAACTCCGGCCTCTGTTCCCAGTTAGTTTTGAGGCTGAGCAAGAAAGTTGAAAGGTCAAGGACTACCTAGCCTAAAAAGTGAGTTTAAAGCCAGCCTAGGCAACTAGAGTGAGACCTTGCCTGTAACATAAAAAGAGCTGGGCTGTAGCTCAGTGTATTGCATTCTGTGACACATGTGAGGCCCTGATCCTCCCTATGAGGGTGGGGGTGGGATGAGAGGCCTGAGGGGGAGGGACGGGGAAGGGGAGAACAAGATTTTAGAAAGAAGAGCAGTGATCACAGCCTCAGCGGAGGGAGAGGAGTGTGGTCTGGTGGTGATAACTCTTACCATGACAGATTACTGTAAGATAGAGCTAGGGAGATGGCTCGGTTGATATAGCTCTTGCCACGCAAACATGAGGCCCTGAGTCCCCACTAAGGTAGGCATGTCAGTATGCCCTGTGGCCCAGAACTGTGGAGGTGGAGAAGAGTGGGGCTTTAGGGCTTGCAGCCAGCACAGCCAATCAATGGGCTCCAGGTTCAGTGAGAGGCCTTGTTTCAAAAAAGAAAGTGGAAAGGTGATTGAGGATGTTGATCTTTGTCCCTCCCCACACACGAACACACACAGACGCCAACACAGACACACTCATGCACATCCCTGTCCACAATTACTATAATCTGAGCATACTGTTTGTCTTCGTCTGGAACTGTTCTGCTCTAAGCTTTAAGTTGGGCTGATTATTAAGAGTATCTTTTCTTTCAAAAAAAGTTCTGTGCTTGAGTGATTTTTAGACGTTTGTAATTATTTACATGTATGAGTGTTTTGCTGGCATGTATGTAGGAGCACCGTGTCTGGTGTCTGTGGAGGCCACAGAGGGCATGGGATTCCCTGGGACTGTGGTTAAGCTGCTGTATGAATGCTGGGAACTGGACCTGGGTTATCTGTAAGAGCAGCATGGGCTCTGAACCCTGAGCCATCTCTCCAGCCCCCTACTTTGTCTTTTGAGAAAGGCTCTTACTCTACGAGATGATCTTCCTGTCCCAGTCTCCCTAGGGATTATGGGTACGTGGTATGACACCTCAGCCTAAACATTTTTAAAAGCTTAAACAGAATATATCAGGAAGTCTGGCCTATGAAGAGGAGTCCAGGCCAACCTGGGAAACTGCATGCTTGGTCTGAAATTTCTAATTCCCATTGCGACCCTGGGGACAAGAGCCTGTCATCCAGGTATGGACTTTCTGAATGGAAGCTGTGGTGTCCCTTCCAGCCTTTGGGGACTCTTGTGAACATATATTGGTCATTGTTTCTGTCCTGTCTGTGCCTGGAGAAGGGCCAGGCACATGCATGGTCAGGAAATTGCTTGCCCACAAGTATGAGGACCCGACTTCGGATTCCCAGCACTATGTAAAAGCCACGTGTGGCACTCATCCATAACCCCAGTGCTGGGAGTGCTGAGACAGGTGGGTCCCTGAGCTCATTGTTCAGCCAGCCTTGCTGAGCCTTAGGTTCAGTGGAGTGTGACAGGAAGACAGCCAGTGTTGTCCTCTGGCCTTTAAAAGCATACATATTCTCTATTCATGTGTATATTCTCCCATACAAACATGTACATCAAATGCGTACACCCACAGGAAACAAACAAATAAAAATGAAGCTCCCTAGATTTCTTGTCTTGGTACCCACCAGAGCAGTCTTCCTATGAAACAGTTCTTTGAGAACTTCTCTTGACTCCTGACTCCTACGCGGTAAAACCTTACCTTTGGAGACTTGGTATTTAACCCATCACACAGACCAATCCCAGCGGTATCCAAAGCTGCCTGCTGGCTTTCTTCATGGACAGTGACTCTCCAACCACACGCTGCTCTAAAGTTAGCGTTGTCTCTCCAGCTTCCCCCATTCTCCCATTGGCTAACACGGCTTTTCATTTTCCTCTCCATCCCTTTGTTAGGATTAAGATTCATGTCACTCTCCTCTAGTCGTATGTTGAACCATACTTTTTAGTGTGACTACATTTTAAAATGGACACTAACCCAGATGTGGTGGCCCAGGTCTGTAATTCCAGCACTCGGGAGGCTGAGGCAGGAGGATTGAGAATTTAAAGCCAGCTTGCACTAAATAGGGTAATTCTGTCACGAAACAAAACCAAACCCACCAAACTAAAAAGGAAGAGGAAGAGAAGGGGGTTGCAAAGGAGGAGAATAGAGAGAAGAAAGAGAGGAAGGGAGGGAGGAATTTCTGGTGACGTTATAAGGGTTGGGGGCACCATAATCACAGTAGCCCAGGCAAGTGCACCTTGGAATATCTTGGAATGCATGTGTGTGCATGCATATATGTCTGTCTGTCTGTCCTTCCTTCCTTTCTTTCCTTCCTTCCTTCTTTCTTCCAAGACTGTCTTCTTATGTAGCTCAGAATGATTTCAGTTTGGGATCCTCCTGCCTCAGCTCCCAAGTGTGAGATAACAGAGAACTCTACTACACCTGACTTAAAACCTCTGTTGTTCAAGGAACAACCTGAAGACCACGATGCTTTCCTCAGTTTTTAAAAACAACTGAAATTTTAACTTACATTAACTTACAAAAGAACATTTTCCTGTCTCTTCTCAGTAACAATGTCCAGAAAATACCTAGAAAAAGGAGGGAAATGGGAAAATCCTAAACAAAGCCTGCAAGGCCTCTTGAGAATGTAAGTGGGCTGCAGAGTTTACTTTAACTGATTGTTTTTATGAACTGTGGTGAAGATTTCTCCTTTTGCCCAATAGGCTTCTATGTATTTAAACAAGTGCATAGTGTCACTTCTGAGAGATTAATCTGGGCCAACAGAGTGGATCCCAGGGCAAGTTCGTGTAATTCCAGTGTTTTCCTAGTTCCTGGCTTTCCTCTGAAGACTGTGTTCTGGTGGCATTCAGACGCCATTCAGCAGCAGAGCCTCTATATGTTCAAAGCCTTGGGTTCTATCCCCCAACCCCAAGTCCCATTTAGAGCATTAACTTTGAATACTTTTCTACAAACCACCAAATTTCAGAACAAAAAATCTCCTCTATCAGTTATACCTATGTTAACAAAATGTATAGAAAATCATTTGTATTTTCCTTGTAATCTCTTAGAAAATCCAATGTATCAACCTTGGAGAGACATTTGGGTCTGGCTACAGAGCTAATTCCCGAAGCTGCAAACTTGGGAGTTTCCCTTCTGCTCGGAAGAAAATTGAGCTGTCATTCTTCTCTCTTATTTTCTAGTGAAGGATTCTGGGAGGAGAAGTTTAGTTAAGGAAAGTATTTGCAGGGAGGTTTTAGCTTAGCCTGAATGACTCATTCAATGTCAGGTAAAGTCAAACCGGAGCGAAGGTTAGACATTGGTGGCCACCCTTTATCTCAGTCCTTTTGGCTTTTTATGGGTTAAAATATGGTCAGAAGTTAGGGTTTTGTGGTGTTTTCCCCTCAAGATTTCCAAATTCAGAATTTCCTATAAACACCACCACCCTTGCCTTCTACCCCTAGAAGGACAGGTTGCGACATCCGAAGTTACTGACTGCAAACCCACACCAGCAACTTCTCTCTGAGGAAAGAGCAAGTCTCTGAGCTTAAAAAGCCTCTGAGCCTGAAGGACAACTTGCATGGAAGGAAACTGTGCTTGGCTCAGGTGTTTAGACAGCCTTGTGTGTCATGAAGAGGACCAGCCCATACCCATCACTGAGGATAATGATCACTCAGCGATCCTTGTGAATCTGAAACTGGCTTATTTTGTGGCGTCTGCTAGGAGGTGCTTTTCTGTTTTGCTCAAGTCTTGAACTTCTAGCTGGCTTCTAGATTGCCAAGACTGTACTTTCCTGACCGTTGCTTTCTCGGTATTCACAGGAAATGTCTGTAGGTCTGGCAAGCACTCCTTCCTGTCTCCACACTCCCAGTTCAAACCGTGCATTCAATATTCGAGAACCTCTAACCTTCTTCCCTATTAGCCCAGAAAACACTCCTGGTCACATTTTCAATCAGCTGGGTGAGAAGGACTGTGTCTGTCCTTAACCCTGTCAGACAGCCAAGAAGCCCAACTTATAAACTGTAAATTCCACTCTTATAAATGCACGAGAAACCTAAGAATTAAATTTTCTTCATCTGAGCTAATTTTCCCACTATAGCAGTATGAGAATTAGGAAGTAGGAGAAAACACCAGAAGTCAGAGGGCTAGGACTAGAGTTGAACATTTATTTAAAATAAAGTAAAAGCTCCTTTATTTCTTTAACAGTTTTTATGTGATGTTTTGAGTATCTATAGTTGCTCTAGGCCTTGGTGATGTAACAGTGCACGACAGACACAGTTTTTGAGAGAGGACAGGTTATCAACCAAATGAATAACTTTGAAAAAAAAATAAAGGCAAGGTGGAGTGTGGTGGTCTTTGAGCACAGCCTTGAAAGAGGGCCATGTTGGCATCTAGAAGTTGTGTCCCACCCAAAGAAAACAGCAAGTGCAAAGACCTCAGGGAGATCCCCCTGCAGTGACTGAGGAACAGTTAGGAGAAAGGCTGGCTGGGGCAGAGCTTGCAGAACGATGGAGGCCTTCCGGATGCTTGGGCTTTTACCCCAGGAAAATGAGGATTCAGGGGAGGGCACAGGCAAGGACCAGCAGGTCCCGATTTGGCAAGTCACTAGCTGCACGGCCAGCGGGAAGGGAAGAAGCCAGACATAGCAGAGGAGAGACTGGGAAGGAGACCACTAAAACGAGCCCAGGAATTAACTGTCCTGGAAATTATAAAAATGCTTTGGGTGTTGACAAAAAGAATTGTGATTATGGAATACAAAGCGGGAAACATTTTTTAAGGGCTTAAGTTGTGAAGCAGAAAGTTCAGCTTGGCAGCCACTGTGCTACCACGTCTACTCTTGATGCAATGGACTTGAGAGTCTTAGTGATGCACGCTCCAGAGTCGATCTTCTCCAGACCCGGCAGCATTTGGCCAGTGTATTTCAGAATAAGCTTTTATGGGCCTTCTCAGGGTGGTCTCTCCCTCCTAGTTCCCAAAATTGCCTGGGTGGACTTAAAAAAAAAAACCAGGTCCCGTCTCATTCTGTGTTTGTAACACGACTACAGGAGAAGTCCTATGATTTCAAAGTTTGGGAAGCAGAGCACACTTCTGAGGGTTTATTTACTGAGGTGTAGAAAAGATTGCAAGACGTCCGTGAGGGCCGGCAGGTGGCGCCACGTGATCGCGAACGGCTCAGAGGCGCGGAGACGGCGGGTCCGCGGCGTTGCCAGGGCCACTCTGTGGCCGCGAGTCTCCCGTGAGAAGCGGTTTGCAGGAGCAGTGGGCTGGGGGCTTGACCAATAATCCGATTTGGTTTTAGGCTATGAGCCCCCTAAGCCTTCTCCAGTCGGCTCTGGTGCTCCCAGAGCAAGAGGGCTCAGCCCTGTCTGCACCGACACGGAGCCCCGTGCTCCAGGCCCTGCAGCAAGGACCGCGGCCTCGCGCCTCGGGGCAGTATCGCAGGGCTGCCAAGCCTAGCTCGGGGGAATCTACTACAGAGACCCCACGGGGAGCGCCGCACCCGCGGACCGCTCCTTTCCATTGGCCGCCCGGAGGAAGACCACGCCCCCTTTCCTACAGCGCTCGTCTTTGACTGGCTCTTGGGTCCGGGATGGCCACGCCTCCTCCCCTCGCATACACAAGAGTCACGCGCCTTTCAGTTGGAAACTTGGCATGCTGAGGAGGACAGTGGCCCTCATGTCTCCGCCCACCTCCCGTGCCATTGGTGCGGCACGCCGAGCGAGGCCACGCCCCCATTCCAGCCCCCTGGCTGGGAAGGCGGGCACCCGCTCTTGATTGGCTGGCCGACCTGCCTTTCGCGGGCGAGGCTAGCACTCCCCTCCCTCCCCTCCCTCCAACCGCGAGCCGGGGGTTCCTCCGCTGGCTCAGTCCGAGTCCGTGTCATTCAGGGAGGCGGACTGCTGAGTGCGGGGCGCGGACGCACGCCTTCGGTCCTGCTCGGGCGCCGCTGCCTGCGCTCGCGCCGCCGGGTGGGAAGGATGAAGCCGCAGCTGGAGCAGCCACCCTATGATTGGCTGTGGCGCTTGTGAACCCGAAGTAAAGATGGCGGGCGGGCAGGCAGCCGCCGCACTGCCCACTTGGAAGATGGCGGCGCGCCGCAGCCTCAGTGCCCGCGGCCGGGGGTTCCTGCAGGCAGCTGCGGGCCGGCTGCTGCCGCTGCTACTGCTGAGCTGCTGCTGCGGCGCGGGCGGCTGCGCGGCGGCCGGCGAGAACGAGGAGACCGTGATCATCGGGCTGCGGCTGGAGGACACGAACGACGTGTCGTTCATGGAAGGGGGTGCGCTGCGGGTGAGCGAGCGGACCCGGGTGAAGCTGCGGGTCTACGGGCAGAACATCAACAACGAGACGTGGTCCCGCATCGCCTTCACCGAGCACGAGCGACGCCGGCACACACCCGGCGAGCGCGGGCTGGGGGGCCCCGCGCCTCCGGAGCCGGACAGCGGCCCCCAGCGCTGCGGCATCCGCACCTCAGACATCATCATCCTGCCCCACATCATTCTCAATCGCCGCACGTCGGGCATCATCGAGATCGAGATCAAACCGCTGCGCAAGATGGAGAAGAGCAAGTCTTACTACCTGTGCACGTCTCTCTCCACGCCCGCGCTGGGCACCGGCGGCTCCGGGTCTGCGAGTGGCGCCGTCGGGGGCAAGGGTGGCGCGGGGGTGGCCGGACTCCCGCCTCCCCCGTGGGCCGAGACCACCTGGATTTACCACGACGGCGAGGACACCAAGATGATCGTGGGCGAGGAGAAGAAGTTCTTGCTGCCCTTTTGGCTGCAAGTGATCTTCATCTCGTTGCTGCTGTGCCTGTCGGGCATGTTCAGCGGCCTCAACCTGGGGCTCATGGCCCTGGACCCGATGGAGCTGCGCATCGTGCAAAACTGCGGCACGGAGAAAGAGAAGAATTATGCCAAGCGCATCGAGCCGGTGCGCAGGCAGGGCAACTACCTGCTGTGCTCGCTGCTGCTGGGCAACGTGCTGGTCAACACCACGCTCACCATCCTGCTCGACGACATCGCGGGCTCAGGCCTCGTGGCGGTGGTGGTCTCCACCATTGGCATCGTCATCTTTGGGGAAATCGTGCCCCAAGCCATCTGCTCCCGACACGGCCTGGCGGTGGGGGCCAACACCATCTTCCTCACCAAGTTTTTCATGATGATGACCTTCCCCGCCTCTTACCCAGTCAGCAAACTGCTGGACTGCGTCCTGGGCCAGGAGATAGGCACGGTCTATAACCGGGAAAAGCTGCTGGAGATGCTCCGGGTTACTGACCCCTATAACGACCTCGTTAAGGAGGAGCTGAACATCATCCAAGGGGCGCTGGAGCTCCGCACCAAGACGGTGGAGGATGTCATGACGCCCCTCAGGGACTGCTTCATGATCACTGGCGAGGCCATCCTGGACTTCAACACCATGTCCGAGATCATGGAGAGTGGCTACACGCGAATCCCGGTGTTTGAGGGCGAGCGTTCCAACATCGTGGACCTGCTCTTTGTCAAAGACTTGGCCTTCGTAGATCCGGATGACTGTACCCCCTTGAAAACCATCACCAAATTTTACAACCACCCCCTGCACTTTGTTTTCAATGACACCAAGTTGGACGCAATGCTGGAAGAATTTAAGAAAGGTGGGAAATCTTGCTGTGTTTTAATTGGTTTCGCTCTTTCTGTCTCTGTCCTCCTCCCTCCCTGAGTCTGCCACCCCCAGACCCACCCCCCAAGGAGAGTTGACCGGAATTTCTCCTCCTCTTAATTGCAAAGTTGAAAGGGTGGCGTGGACTCGGGGACTGACTGAACTGGTGAGCATTTCTAGGTTTCAAATCCCAAGACTGTCATTCCTTTTTCAAACCATTCAAAACAAACAACCAAACAACCAAAACACAGGCATTTTAATTTCAATGCTTGAACCTTGCCCCCTTGGGGGATACTGGTCTTGAGGGATCCACTTCATTCATTTTCTGGGTCCCTGAATAGGTTGACGAAAGTACAGGCTGGTTCCTTAGATGCCCTTCAGTTACATCTCAGACATTTGGAAGACATTTAAGTATCCTTTCAAAACCCAGTGTAATCCTTTTTCTCTTCCTTAAACATGCATGTTGACGTTTCAAAGACTGGAAGTACAGTTTTGATAGATTTGTTTTTGGCTATCTGGCATCCTGCAGGGTGGACTGAAGAAGGTCTTTGAGGGTGGGGCAGGGGTAAAGAAAATACCGTTTTAAAAACCCACGTTATTTGGATGTGACTTCTCTAGCTGGAAAAAAAAGGGGGTTGTTTTGTTTAAAGGAAACTTAGTTATTAATATATAACTTGGAACGACTACAGGTAAATTAACTTTTATGAGGCTATATCTGTCTTACTTTCTTCACTGTTCATGTTTATCTGACAGCAAGTAAAACTTCCTAAAGCAAGTGTGGTTTTGGCAGAAAGCTTGAACCTGTGACACTGTTATGAATACCATTATGATCTATTTCTTGATTTTTTTCCCGAGTTTAAAAAGTGTTCTTCTTTTAACCTTGATCCCTTGATAAATTAACATGAAGTGATTTATGTCTCCAAATGAGCTGTCCAGGCTCTTGGGTGTTAGCTGGGAAGAGGCAGAGGGCCAGTGTCTGCCTGTGAGCACTCACAGCACATCATTTTTTTTTTTTTTGCGTTGTGGTATTGTCTGTCGTATTTTGTCACAAATAGGTGAATAGCAACTTTGAAAGTTCCCAGTAAATAGCTGGTGTTGTTGAAAACCAAGGGATGCTGAGTTTTGTCACTGGTGCTTGGCACGCACCAGCGTTGCAATGTGTGTGTAACCTTGCCTGACCCGAAAACTAAATTCTCATTCTTCACATGGAATGTCGATCACTAATGGGGTCGCTACCCTGACAAGGCCGTGTGTACCTGGTGATAGCTCCCTTGGGGGGGGGGGGTGACTTGAACATACAGCGTGTGTGCGTGTCCTCACTCCCTTTTCTTGGATGAATGGTGTCCTCTCTGGAACAGGACCACAATGCAGTAATTTTCATATTAAAAAAATAGAGCAGAATGTGCTTCAGGGCTTAGTAATTTGCATTTAAAAGCAGGAGGAGAAAAAGAAAATGTTCAATATCTCTGGCTACAGAGCTTTTGGGGTACCCGTTCACTGCCAAGCTGTTTATTAGAGCATTGAGCTAGTGTCTTCCTTCACTCTGCAACACAGGGAGGTGTCTTGAGGATGCCTCTGAATTCCCAGTGCTGGCACAATTTATTGTGTCTGTTGTTCACATTTTTGCAAATCACCTTATAGATTGCAAACACAAGGCCGAATCAGACATGATGATGTAGTTCCAGCTGCTTGGGAAGCAGAGGCAGGATGATTTCTTGAGACCAGGGTTCCACACAGGCCTAGTCATTTAAAACAAAAACCAACAACCACTAGTTTGTTCTAGTCTGTACCCTGGCTAGAGGCTTTTCTTTACATCTGTATCTTCATTTTTCAAGAATTTAGTTGTTTCTTCCTACTCCTGCTCAAAGTTTAGGACATTTTGCATGATTTAATTTGTCTTTGGTTGATTGTGCTTTAACCAGTTTTCTGTGGCTGATTTAATGTTTTTAAATTTAATTTTAGGAGGCGCCATTTTCCCCTGAAAATCACCTCTTACTGATAGCCCTGTCTCTTAAGGGTCTGGCGGGAAGTTTCTGTGTAACTGACTCTTTGGAATGCATGGTCCTCCTGCTTCAGTCTTCCAAGTGTTGGGATCGCAGGTGCTCATGCTGCAGCCTGGCTGGCAGCGCTGCCTTTTGAGGGGTGTTCTTCAAGTGGTGAACTTAACTGGTGCTAGAAGAATAACAGAGTACTGCACTTAATTCTTATCCAAGGACACGCGCAGTGTTTGGGCAAGAAGTCGGGTAAATGGAAGATACATTCAGTCTACTAACATATTCTGAAAAGCAAAGACAGTGCAAATTGGATAGTTAAGCCATGTTTGTTTGTTTGTTTGTTTTTTAAAGGGAAATGCATTTTTATTTTCAAAGAACATGATACAATTAAAAATGTACACTTTAGGTTATAACCATGAATGTCCTTGGTTGGAGTATCAGTCTCAGAGAAAGACCCCTGTGCCCAGATATATTTGGTCCTTGTGGAGCTCCTGTCCTCTCTAGGTCTTATTATCTCCCCCTTCTTTCATAGGATTTCCTGCACTCTGCCCAAAGTTTAGCTATGAGTCTCAGCATCTGCTTTGATACACTGCTGGGTAGAATCTTTCAAAGACCCTCTGTGGTAAAGCCATGTTTTTGAAAGAACAAAATGGCTATTTGCTACTTAGTTGCATTAATTAAAATTATTTATCTAATTTCATGTGATTATGTGTGCACCTGAGCATGATGTATATGTACCAAGCACTTGCAGGACCCCTCAGAGGCTGGGAGAGCTGTCAGGTCACCTGGAACTGGAGTTACCAGGTGGTTGGGGGCGACAGCCATGTGGGTCCTCTGCATGAACAGTAAGTGCTTAACCACTGAGCCATCTCTTTAGCAACCTGGGTTTTTCTTTCAGAAAAAAGTTTATGAAACCACATTAAACTCTCAAAAAAAAAAAAAAAAAAGAAATACAGAAATTGAAACAATAACGTTTGTATTTTGATAGCAATATATTTTGACAAAAATAGGAAAATATATTTTGTATTTGTTATAGCAGTGATCTTCACAATACTCTTCATATTCTGGAGTAATGTATGCATTCTTTCACATACTATAAATGATGCTATGTTTGTTTGGTACACTAACAAAATTGTAATTAAACTCACAGATACTTTAAAAGCAGGCATTAATATATTGCCCAGATATTAGTTCTTTTTAATGTATGAGTTACAGTCATCCACCGGATTTTCTTTTCATGATTTGCTGATGTAGATATAACTTCTCTTATGTATTGGAGATTGAACTCATGGCCTCCATGGTAGGCAAGCCCTTTACCAGTGGGCTGCACCCTCAGCTCTGTGAAATAACTAAAAGATTATTTAAAGTTTGTTCACTGTGTGTTTCTGTGTGTGTGTGTGTGTGTGTGTGTTCGTGTATGTGTGTGCAGAGATCAGAGGACTGCTTGGAGGAGCTGGTTCTCTCCTTTCATCCTGGAGGTTGAACCAGGCTTGCCACAAGCACCATTTTTGGTTGAACCACCTTACTAGCTCCTGCTACCATCTGTTTTATGTGTATGCTGAATAGCACATGGTGTGTGGGATGCTCTGAAAACTTTCTTCTCCTTTTTTTTCCTCTTCTCTCTATGTCTAAAAAACAGAAAGAGAACAAAACCAAGACTCCCCAGTCCCATTATAACCCCAAACTGGTTAGATTTCATTGTTCATTCCCTTTATATCTGAGCTGGTGTCTGTTGTTTTTCTTGTCACTGTTGAGAATCACTCTGATTCGTTTTTCTCTGAAGCGGTGGAGCAAGAAGGTTTGGGGAATTGGAAAGAGATGCTGCAGTAATGTAAGTGTCTTGAATGTCTAAAGTGGCTAGAACTTTTAAACTGTCTACAGGTAACTTGTAGCTTTGCTTGAGGGGGGAAGGTAGTAATGGTGCTAATTTTGTAGTTTGATCGTCATGGTTGTAGTAAAGATAGTTTTGTGCCTTTACTTACTGTCTTCCAGGCACAGAGCTGAAGGTTCTTCTGTGAAGAACTCTGTTGAAATCTCATGATGTCTGAATGGAGTGTCATCCCTATTTATTTTTTGGTTCTTTTGAGGCAGGGTTTCTCGGTGTAGCCTTGGCTGTAGACCAAGCTGGCTTTGAACTCACAGAGATCTACCTGCCTCTGCCCTTTGAGTGATGGGATTCCAGGTGTGTGCCACCACTGCCTGGCTGTTGTCCCTATTTTACCAATAAGGACAATTGAGGCTTAGATTGAATCATTTGTTCAAGATCACGTAGTAATTCACTGACTTGGGGCTTTAGCTCATGTCTGTTTAGTCCACATGCTGAGCTACTCCTTTAGTCCCAGAACACACTGTCTTAATCATTCTCTTAGACTAGTTTCAAATACTGATTTTGCATGATTTTCAATTTATTTATTTTATGTATGCGTGTATGTGTGGAAGTCAGAAGAGGTCATCATATTCCCTGGAGATGGAGTAATGGATGGGTTGTGAACAGCCACGTTGGTGCTGGGCACTGAACCTGGGTTCTCTACAAGAGCAGCCAGTGCCCTGATCCGCTGAGCCATCTCTTCACTCTTCAGCCCCAGTGTTTCTGTTTTAATGAGTGTGAGATTTGGGATTTTGTCAAAACATTGCTTCAGAGCCTGTTGGGCAATAGGCTTCTACATGTATTTCCATGAAACGTGTGTTTGTTGCTTTTAGAGCCAGTGCTTTGGTGATAGTGGATAGGGGTTGATGCCCTCTTTTTAAATATTGTAATATACTAATGCTTTTGCTGTGTAACCCTAATACCGAGAAACTATTTTTGCAAGAGCTACACATCCAGCACTGAGATCCCTGAAGCGGATGTTTTACAGTAACATTGTTGCTTCAGTGCGCTGCTTTAATGGTTGCTTTGCAACTGTTTTCTTTTGATTGTTTTATGTGTATGAGTGTTTGTCTGCATGTATGTCTGTGCACCCACCACATGCATGTCTGGTGTTGGAGGAGGCGGTGAGCCTCC